TGTTCTAAATCTTTCAATTTTGTAATATAACAACTTAATGCAATATTCTATCTACATGAAATTATTAACACCTAAGGGAAAGGTTCTCAAAATGTATTTGATAATTGTAAATTTCTGGTAAAATAAACTGAAATTCTTCTGGTTGTAACTGGTTTGTCAGATTATAGAAAACACTTCGATAAAACTTTACTGGCTGGAGGATGCTAATTGTAATCAAAGTTTCTAATTTGGGATAGAGTAAAAAAATTATACCTTGAGCCTGGTTATCCCAGATTTTTGCTACAAATGAAGACTGAGATTGTTAGCTACAAGTCCAGAAAGTTGGAAATGTTTATACTTTCTTGATGCGTACCAGATTTTTGTGATGATTGGCGATTGTTCACCGTATATAAAAACTTCACTTTTCATAGTATGGGAAGTTGGCAAACAAGGAACAATTTTTGGAAATGCAAATTTAGCAAATATTAAAAAATATATTTTGTATAATATTATTGGAACTCTATAGGCTGCATACTTATTACCCCCCTCCCCCTTTCTAATTTCAAAATTTATGTTCCTATGAGATGAACGACCAAAAGGCAAAGTTTTACAAAAATATATTTGCAGGTTCTATTTCAGAGGATTGACCTTAAGTGATTTAATAAAATTGGACTAGTTCTGTCTAAGACCCAGAGTTGTGATAATCTTTCTTTTCTCTTAGATATTTATTGGTTCAGTGATGATAATTAATAAAAAAGAATCAGTTTGTTCTAGGAAAAAAATAAACTATTTTATGTGAGCGCTTTGATATATATTAAATTATGCCCACCTGTACCTACCCAGTCTTAAAATAGTGTAATTAAAAGAAGCACACTATTGAAAGTAGAGATTAATTTACTAGGATATGTAACTAAGAAACTGCATTTTTGCAATACTGATGGAATCCTGTTCTTTTCGGACTACCCTAATGCACTCTATTGCAGACATGGTGGCCTTATAGCCAGAACGCTGTTCTCTGGGTGGCGAGATCCTATTTCAAAGCATGGCCAAGATTATTGTTTATTATTTGACTTCCCTTTGACGTTACTAACTTTGTTTTTTTCTTTTCTGTTCAACTGGAAGATTTTTCATCTGAGTCACCAAATGTCACTGTTGCCACACACCCATAAAACCCATCTTCATCTTTCGGTTCTTCCATTGTACATGAGTGCAAAGCTGTAACTGGCTCTTCCCCAAACTTGACATTGATCTATCTAGCATAACTCTCCTCAGGGATTTCCCAGACCCCATTCCTCTTAAACTTTTTCTCATCTATTTTCATGATGCTCAAGTGAGGTGTGTACTCGAGAATCAGTCGAAGGGATTCCTTCTATTGTAAATATTTTGCGCACAGTTTCCTCAACTGATTCTAAAAAATTTGTTTCCTTTACATCAGGTTTTGCATAGAGAAATTGATGCCCAAAGTGGCCACGACCAGAGAATCTTAATGTCATTGCACTTTTGGCTGCGATGGCTTCCACAGGTGTCTTGCACTGATGTAATATTTTTCCCTCTCTCTGGATTTCTTCAGCATTCTCAAGGCGCATGACCATAAGGGAAACATGCAATTTTTCAGAGGAGATAGTAGTTGGCCTCAGTTTCTCATCATATTTCGCAATCGAGTGTTGGATACCATCGACCTTTTTGTGTAACTCAGGATTATGAATGCGCACAGCCAAGAAAAAGTTTGGTTGTATCCCTTCAGGCCTTTTGTTTCTATGGGACAAGAATTTATTCAAATTTAGCATTCAATACAGTGGAACCTCGAATTAACGAAGTGGCAAGGGACTGGGGAAATTGGTTCGTTAAATTGAGGGTTTGTTATGTCCAAAACCTTGATTTAACGAATTTGCAGAAAAACAACCAATTGTTATATCGAGGGCTGGTTAATAATTACTTTAAATTTTTTATGATGATGATGATGATTATTATTATTATTACTATTAATATCTTTTTTTGTGGTGTGACGTCGCGCTACCCAGCATTTTGGGATAAGAACGATTACTGTAAATAACATTTGTGCTTTAATGTCCATATGAAGCTACATATACTGAACAGGTCTTTACTTTTTTAAAGCAGGTAAGAGAAATTTCAGTGGAAGTCACTAGCAAACGGAGAAACGACGAGGATTGATTCTTGTCGATTTGCTCGCATTTGTATTTGTCATGTGACGATTGTGTTTGTTATAACGAGGATTTTGTTATTTTGAGGATTTTTCCCCATACACTTTTTACTGGAAAATTAGCCGGGCTGAAGAGTATCGTTCGTAATACCAAGGACTTCACTTTGAAGAGTTTCGTTAAATCGAGGTTCCATTGTAGCAAATTTCGCTTTAATCCCCTTTATGCTTTTTGTTAGAGTGTTTGCTTAGTAGAAATCATCATCCGAACGATCTTAGCCCATAAGTTTAATATTTACACCTAACAGCTTTTTGCAACAACGTATACCAAAATTACGGACTACACTTCAGCGTGATGCCAAGTAAAACACATGAGATGTCAAAATTTGCCTTCGAGGCAGTTAATAATTTATGGCTTCGTGGATCGGCCTTTCAAATACACGTGGTAAAATAATTGCTTTCTATATTGCGGGCGTTCAAATGGAAAAAGTAGACCTAACGAAAAAGATAGAGTTTCCTTCAACCATGACTAAATGGGGGGTACAGTTTTACTTCGAAGAATCAAACAGATCTGTTTTTTCCAGCGGCAGAATAAATCGCTTTGTTCAATTTGTTTGAGGTAGAAACCGCGCGTACGGAAAGAAAACGTGGCAAGGTTTTCCGCATTAATGCATCTACTTAATCCAAAATTTAAAGCATCTGAATGTGTATTTAAGATATAGTTTGAGTGTTTAATCGAGCTAGCAAGTGCCATACAATCTCAGAATTCGACGCTTTTTAAGAGTTCTTTATCAATAACAAATTTAATTTACATAACCTACAGGTCTGCTTCGTAGAAAACCGTTTGAAAAAGCTGAAGACAACTTATTTGGTGGAGATATTGATCGTGTCTCTACTTCCGACTATGTTATCGCAGCTCGCCATGGTTAGTTTGGTCAAACTTCTGAGCTTTGGCGCTCTCCAGTAAAGCCGTTTAAAAACTCCTTCCTAAATTCAACCGCACTTCGGCCGGACGTTTTCCGGACGTAGGCAATCCACCTTGAAATTTTCAAATGGTTCTCCTTCCCTCCACTGCTCTGATGGGTTCACTGAGAATATTGCCCCTATCTGATTGGCTTCTCGTAAGGAGATTGACTTCCGTCTCGCCGCATGGTCCTCAAGTTTCTCCAATTCGGTAGTGCGTTCAAATTTTACTTTGTGTCCAGTGTTGACTCTCACTCTCCGCATTTGTTTCGTTTTTGCGCTTAATCTGGAGTCTGAAGCGTTGAATACGGAAGCTGACTATGGTTTTCAAATAAAACAACAGCTTAACTGGTGTACTTTGCGCTGCCCTCGGTCGGAATACCCGCTTCCTCCAGTACACAGAGCTTGTCGAGATGGCGATATACTTAGTTTGACCTATTCAACCATCCAAGGGGATAAGTTAGCAGTTTTTCGCTCAATTAATGCTCGGGATCAATTTCTTATGTGGACACCAATACACTGGGCAGGTTATTTTGGAAAGATGAGCTTCAAAATTAAGCATGATTCACCCTGAATTTTTCAAACACCTTTGAGACTCATTTTCCGTATGCCATTCCAGATCGAAAAGTCAGTCCGTTTCACTTTCGAGTCTCCAACGGAATAGCTGATTGGTCATTCTGCAATGGTTAGTAGTTTATTTCGCATCCTACCCTTACTTTGATCTAAGCTGGGCTGATAACATCAAAAAAGCTGTGTTCTTTCTGACGAACTGTCGAGTTCCTGTAGCAATATCGTCCATGTGGTCTTCAGTGTCGGTTGCTAATAACTAACCCCAAATACAAGCAAGGTGGCAACAACATCGATCTTTTTCGTGCATTTCCGCTTTACTGTAAATACTGAAATACAGTTTAGAAGCCAGAGTGGCGTCGTTCTCATCTTTGTGCTCAATATATCGAGAGTTTGTCCGTCTTGACTTTTTCTTGGTATATTACTGCTTTTGCGAAAAACATACTTTGGTCATTTACGTAATCTCCAAACATTTCCCTTTCAAAAACGCCGCGGTGTGATAAAATTTGCGGCGAGTTTAAACTTGTGCATCTTAACACTTTTAATGTATAGTAGTTTTGCATATATAACAACATCAGCCTTTTTTGCCCATTTATTTCTTCATGAATGGTGAGTTATCTTAAATTCAAGAGTCCAGTCAGAGAAAAAGTAAAAGATTGCTAGATGATGGAGACCACACAGAGCAAGTATAAAGACCCAGGAATGATGTGTTTTATCTCACAGGACTATCCCAATTCAAAACAGACTTTGTTGAATGAGTTAACTTTTTCTGAGATCTTAAGGCTTAACCTTTTGACACCTGTCAGTATGCATATTCTCCATACTGTTCTCTATACATTTCCCAACGTGCTGACAAAAACAGGAAAAAAATAACCTGTTACTGCTTAGGACACTGAAACAAATGTAATTTTATGTCAATTTAAGGTGTTGTGGAAAATCTTGATCATTATGAGATACTTATTCCAAATGGTGTTAATCACAATCTGCACATTTCAAATGGTGAAAATCAGTGGACAGACAGTGCAAATGGTTTCCAGAATGAGCATGTTAATCATGAACATTTTGAAAGCACAAGCTACAACAGATGTCTCTCTGCTAAGGACGGTGATGTTGACATGCACAGTGAAGAAGTTCAAGAAACTAATGCAATCAAAACAATTTCTAGATATCACTATTTAAACCAGCCTGTTAGATGTTTAGGTCTGTTTGGTCACATGCAGTAACTTTTTTATGCTGTCTATAAATTTATCCAGTTGTTAATAAAGATCAACGCAGGGACTCTAAAATAAATAAATAAATTTTCGTACAGTAATGTTAACACAACTTTGGCCACTGTATTTGTATTTATTTAGCTGTAAACAGCCATTTCACCTTTGAATTAAATATTGCTTCAATGCGATACAAGTTACCCTCTGTGTACATACGTTGTCATCCAGTACATGGCTGTAACATTCTATTTTATCTGCAGTTAAAAGGATCAAGGTACGTGAACTGATATGGCAAATTTTGAAAGCTGACATTTCAAGCATTGGCCCATCTTTGAAGCAAATTTGCTTTGATCCAGGGTAAATGCCTGGTTGTAGTTTGTCTATCAGACTTTTGACTGAGGCTAATGCAAGAATACCATGAGTAATCAGCTCGACAACATTTGCTATGACAGTTTACGGACCTTAAACAATGGGTAGGTGTGTGGATTACCTTGAAATTGTTTCCTTTTCATGTCGACACAGTAAAATACTTTCTTTAGAAGCTAATAACCTTGTTGAATAACATTGTTTGCATACATTTCCTAGTCAGTCTACTACTTATGATATTCTTGGCAATTGATTACTGCAAAAATTTCCTGATCATTCGGGAATCTCCCCAAATTAGGAAACAAGGCTTTAAGCCAACTACAAAGCACAAGGGTTAAATATATTATGTGTAATTCATGCATTAACGTAACTGTTCTCTGGTAAAGCATTTCTCCAGCCTTTCCTCAACTGATCTGACAAATCCTGGACCAGATTCGATAGAGAAGGTACGGAAGCAACATTCACGTCATCCTGAGGACCTAAGTATAATTCCCTGGCATGTACGTTCGACCAGTTCCCCTTCTGTGTTTCATGGTCATATTGTATCCACTCAGCGTAATGGTAAGAACTTGTCTGCATGGAGTATCCCATAATTGTAATCTCAGAAAGCGTAGGCGCACACGAGTTTTGTTGTGGTTCATCTGATGGTCTGAGCACAAGATCAACGAATTTGAGATTGAATCCAAAATCAATGATGAAAAACAATGGAACACCTAGGTTTAATTTGAATCCTTAACACACTAACATCAGTATGCGTATTCTCTATACTGTTCCTCAGCATTTCCAAAGGTGCTGATAAGGGGAATTTGTTTAACAATCAAGAGCTTCTTTAGGAAACATTTCCTTTGCTATTGTGACCTTGATGTGTGATTCAGGGGTGATAATGTAAGGAGAAATTAGATGCTAGTCACTCTTAGAGATCCAAGGGTTGAGCACTAAAAAAATTGAACTGGAGAGCTATGACCCTCTCATTCAAAATGTTTAATTTTTCACTCTCTCCACTTTAATTCCTTTCTAATTAGGTGAAATCATTTGGTGTTAGATCAATATGACACCCAAGCTGGGTTTAACAGATAAATGTACCTCATGTGTTCTTTACTTTTTTAAAACCAGTTGGCTGGCTAATGTTTTAAAAATCTTCAGCAGAAGTTATGTCTTAATAATTTCCAGAATGAAAAGGATTGAACTACCTTGAGTCTTTGCTGTAATTTCCTATGCCTCCAATACGATGATAGATTCGTTATTTGGGAAGGCGTTTTATAAGTAGTATTATTTCAGTGCTAAATTAATTACAATGAATCTTTGTTTTTACCTTGGATGTTGGCTAAAGATGGCCTTTTTCCATGGCATGTCTAAATTCTTCAAAAGAGGAGCAAAGCTGAGACCCTCTGAACACAGAGTGATGTTTGAAGAGTCATCTGGGCAAAGATCTGCCAGAAGATTTAGAACTTCATTTAGTTTTTCAATCCTATACCCTTCTGTAGAGTCAGCTTTAAAGAGATTCTTTCTTGCATTTTTCTACTGAAATCTTGATGTTCATTATCCGTTCAGAATTTATATTTTTCTTAGTGAAATATTTTCATACTTAAATTTCAGTATTGATTCTTCTGAGCCACTCTCACAAAGGTGTACTTTTTACCTTTAAAGACCGACGTAGGAGAAAGTATTTAACATTTTTATTGTGCTAGAAAGACTTGACAGTCCCAGTTCAAATCCCCCTCCAACTCAGGCAGGGTTCAAATTCTTCACCCCCCCCCCCCCCAAGGCAGGAGCCACAGTCAAATGCCAGTGGATTGCTTGGAAGGGGGAGGGAAGATATGGGGGATGTTGAAGCTTTTAATTGGTTAGTGCATTACGCACTACTTGTCTATACAACTAAACGTAATCAATTCATGTGACCAGAAGTAGGTGTTTACCTGGCACTTTCAGCTCAGCCAGTTCTGCAAGAGTTGGAAACAAGTCCACTAATTCTACAAGAGCATCAGATACAATTCCTGAGCCTCCATGGTCTCTGTTGTCAGTCATACCAGGTACATGGATTATTAGGGGTACATTTGTGGTTCCTCTGAAGTTACTGTACTTTGACCACTCCTGATGTTCACCCAATGCAAAACCTGCAATCAAGTAGTTTTTTGTTTTAATCATTTCAATTTAAATCATAGAGTGAATTATCTTTTTTAATTTCAGTGTTGATAGTTTCCCTGCTCCTAGTACCATGTATCATTGAAGTGAAAGTGCAAGGGCAATGATAAGAAATAAATCATTTTAACTCATCCATAGCGTGGATATTTGAGGGCAGAACTTATTGAGTATTCACATGAATGCAAGGATAATTAAGCAAAAGTGTGTTACTGCTTCATACAAGATTCAGATCAGTAATAAAAAAAACAGAAAACAAAACAAATAAAAAACCCAGTTAAAATCAGCAGGTTGTCTAAAAAAATTTCATTAATTCCCATATTTATTGCCCATGTCCCTACTTCGTCAGATTCAATCTCATTGATGAGTGAGTACTTCTTGACTGACAGGTAAATCTGCTTTTGTCGGAAAAGAGAAGAGGCTTTTTCAAACTCTACTACTTATCCACCCAGTTGATCACATTTCACCCTTTGACTCCTAAGATCTGATTGTTAAGTCTCCCTTCTAACTGCTGCACATTTCCTAGTAAATTAGCTACAGGAAAAAGGAGTCAAATGACAACAATAACTTCTACCTGGTAAGTTAAAGTATTGTCATTTCCTGTTTGCCGGATAATGTTGGATATCATAGGGAGAAGTTACACGTTAATCACCACTGGATTTTAAATGGTGAAGTAATTGCAAATCAGTGAGAAGTTAATTAATAATAATGAATTATTTACAATAATGTGAGACAACTTCAAACCACGCATGAACAATCAGTGAGAGCAGTAGTTCTCAAAAATAAAGCTATTAGTGCCAAGCTTGTCTTTCCCTTTATGAAGTTATAAACCAAAGAGGCCCAATCCTTTATCTTACCATGATCTCCAATGAAGCTCACAATTGTATTGCCTGTAAGACCATACTCGTCTAAAGCTGTCAGTAACTGTCCGACTAGACTGTCCATATAGGTTGTTGCAGCATAGTAACTTTGTATGATCCTTTTGGCATAAAAATCTGGAATGGGTTCATATGGGAAACTCAGATTTAGTGCTGCAATGTCATCTCTCCATCGCAGATCAGTCCACGGTTCATATGCCACTGGCGGCAAATCAAAGGGAAGTTCGGGATTTGCTGCTATGTCAATCTCCTCTATGGGGTACATGTCGAGGAACTCTTTAGGATATTTCAGAGGGAGGTGCGGCTTGTGGTAACCAACAGCCAGGAAGAACGGCTGGTTGTTGTTGTTTGAATCAGTGTAATTTTTTAAGAAATTTAAAGCATATTGAGTGCTCTGAATGTCTGGCAATGTTCCCTCTGGTTGCTTTTTAACATCGACTGGACATACAACGTTGGTGTGTAGTTGACCATCTACACTTGGACATACCTATTAAGAGGACAACCAAGTAAAATAAAGCAAGAAAGGAAGGAATGAAGGAAGAGGAAGAAAGGAAGGAAGAAAAAGAAAGAGAGAAAGAATAGCATGAGGTTAGTATGCAGAAACAACTTGTGAATAACGGTGTAACCAGAAGATAATTAGCAATCTAACATATAAAGACAGGACCACTCCTCTTGAGGGAATATTAAACAACCTACAGGACATTTTGATGCCATGAGGTCTGAAAATACAAGGTGAAGGATTGCAGCAATTTTTTTTTGCTTTATCAGACATAAAGAATCCTGATAAAAGTCTTGGTTCCTGCCACAAATGCTAGCTCGAAATACAACCAGTTTATACCTCTGAACATGAAGATAACCATGAGTTTCCCACCTCTTCCTAAAAAATATTTGGAGTTCCATTTATAAAGGATTCTAATATTCAGCAATTCTTAACAAACTCACCGGTGCATTTTTGTATTCGTGAGTTGAAGGATGATAAGGTGGAATGGTCCAACTATATGGATAGTCATCAGTAGAGTTTGATGCTTTTCCTGAAACAAACGACCAGGGTACAATGTAAATTTTTATTTTAATTTATATAGGATATACATGCCGTGCACGGCTAAAAATTTTATGTTTCATCGTTGATATCATCAGATGTAAGTAACACAATATGATAGATCTGTTTATTATGTGGACACAAAATGAAATTTTCAAATCGAGGGAAGAGTTGGTATAAAACCTGTGGTTTCTATGCCGACATTGTTATCTTGAATAAAACAAAAGAAATTTTATGTGACTGTTGCAAGTTATCCCACAGTAGCATTCCATAATTATACATAATGGTTTTAACTTAAGCCTTAAGCTATTGATGAATAAGCTCCCAAGCTTTTGCCGATCTACATCATCATCGGGGATAAAAAGTATTCAGTAATACAGCTACATATACTGGGGGTGATTTAACCCTTTAAACCCTGAGAGTGACCAGCATCTAGTTTCTCCTTACAATTATACTGCTGAGTCATTCATTTGAGATCAGGAAAATAAAGGAAATGATCACCAAATAAAGAAGCTCTTGATTGTTGAGCGAATTCTCCTTGTCAGCACTTTAGGAAAAGTATATATAAGCAGTATGGAGAATATGCATTCTGATGTTAGGGCGTAAAGGGTTAATGGTAGACAATACTAATGAGAAAAGTAGGTAAAACCATTAAAGAAATAAAAATGGCGATACTATTCTTTATACTGCGTGCAGCAAAGACATCTTGTCTCAGAAACAGGAAAAATTCTGATATTTCACCCAGTTCTACGTAGTAGATGTAAATATTGGAATCTGGGGATCTGTTCTATTAGGGGTCTGTGGAATAATACAGTTGGAGGATACCCACCCTTTTTTTTCATTGTCGAGAATGGCGGGTATGCCCAAATAAAATTGGGAGCCAACTCAATTTTTAGACGAAAGTTGGACTGAGAATGTACAAAAAGTGTAACGGAACATGGGTAAATAATTTAGCTCGAAATGTGGCTGCAACATGCGGTTTATCACATTCTGGTATACCTGGGTGAAAGACTTTTCCTGAAGAAGCGGTAAAATAACCACTATCCTTGAAGTGTTGTGGTAAAGTGGTGAAATTTCCAGCATTCACCCTCCAGTAGGTAAGTTTTTTGTTGTAAACAAGCTTTGTTGTGTCTGGTCTCCTGCCAGTAAGGAATGAAATTCGGCTGGGACCACAAACAGCTTGCTGTGAAGCGGCTTTGGTAAAGCGAATCGAACGTTGTGCGAGCTGGTCAAGGTTCGGAGTTTTTACCACAGTATTCCCATAGCTGCCCAGCGCTTGTCTAAAATCGTCGGCTACTATAAGGAGAACGTTCATTTTATCTTGCGGGGATCCATTCGATGTACAGATCATTAAATACGTTATAAGAAATAATAGAGTTGCAAAGTGAAACTGTCTAGGTTTCATGCTGATTGAGGCGTACACACCAAAACATGGAATGACCTACAACAACCTTTTTTATAACAACTTTTTAATTAATTTTTTCATAAATTTGTTTAAAATTATTTTTTAACTAATCTATTTTTTAAAATAATTTCTTAAATAGTTTATCATCTAATTTTTAATTACTTTTTTCAATTATTTTTTAAATAAGTTTTTTAATTCTTTTTGAAACAATTTTTTAAAAATTTTTTTAATCAAATTTCTTGAACAATTTTTTAGATTATTTTTAATATATTTTTAAAATCTTTTTTCAATTTTTTTAATTGATATTTAATTGTTTTTTTCGTCAATTTTTAATACTTTTTTAAATTATTCTCTTTTAATTATTTTAAAAATTATTTTCTAAATAATTTTGAAACTATTTTTTGAACAATTTTTAAAAAATTTTTAATTCACAAAATACAATTGATAAAATGAATATACGAAATTTCGTAAAAATTCAAAATCATGTACAATACAAAAGCATTTAGCTTGAAAATTGCCCACGATTTAGATGCCCGCAATGGCATTAATGTTTTAAACAACTTTTAAACAATTTTTTATTTATTTTTCAAAAATTTTCAAATTTTGTAAATAGTTTTTAAGTTAATTTTTAAATTGAATTTTTTAAAAAATTTTCTTATTAATTTTTTTACCAGTTTTTAATTTCTTTTAAAACTAAATTTTAAATTATTTTCTGATTATCTTCTCTTGACTATTTTTAATAATTTTTTCAAATTATTTTTTATCAATATTTTAATTATTTTTTAAACAATTTTCAAGACTTTTTTAATTTGTTTTTTACAATTTTTTTTCAAATTTTTTTAAAATCAATTTTTTAAATGAATTTTGAATAATATGTTATTTTTTAACAGTTTTTTAAAAATTTTTAAATTTGTTTTTAACAATTTTTATGATTATTTATTTTTTAATATTTTTTTTAAATTTTTCAATATTTTTTATTGTCTTTTATTTATTTATTTTTTCATAATTAAAAAAATTGTTTTGTTAATTTTGTGATAATTTTTAAAATAATTTCTTTTAAAACTGATCTAGAGATTAGCACTTTGTGAACGGTAGTTGTAAAACTTCTTTATTCTCCGACGCGTTTGTTTTAGCTGTCGTGAACTTCTTCAGGGAGTTTTACAAGTTAAAACTAAACGCCTGTATTTATAAGCCATAGTTAGTGGCTACACGGTGGCCAGTTACCATAAATAAAGGCTTGGCCGGGCATAGGAACAAGTTGTAAAAAATTTGAAAATTTTGTGAGCATGGTGAGAAAGATGTTTTGGTGGCCACGGTTTTAGCTAACACCATGGCCCCCAAAATAAGCCCAATACCAAGCACGACAGCAACCCACGTCTAAGATGACGTGAACACTGAAAGGCTAACCAACGCCAAAGGTCAAGGTAGAGTTCTAGCAAACCTCAAACACCGTCAAAAAACATCCGAGGCAAAGGTTCAGGCCACGTAAAGTAGACAAACGTTCTGCATTCGAGAAATGGTGGTTTAAGATGGCCAACCGACCACTATTCGCCATAGCTGGTAGGATCTTAAGGGCCTTGGAAAATACAACCGGCTAGAGGTACAGCTTGCATATTGAGTCGACATTGCCCAGTTTTTGATACTGTTTGCCTCACATTTAACTTTTCTGTACTTCAAATTTGTGTTACACTCCTTTGAATCACACACACCAGCTTACACAAGAACTATTTTAGTAGTATTACATAATAAATACGTGACTTGATGAAATGTTCTGGAAAGTTCTACGCTATGCAAGTCAGCATGACTTAGCAGTCTGGAAATTTCTAGAAGATCATATTTACAACAACTACTCATAACACAGTCTGCTTTGCATTTTACTTTTTGGCATTCCACTTTAGTCTTATACTACATGGCACAGGACATATGCTATGAACATCAAATGACTCTGCATAGGGAACCAGCTGAGACAAAAGTAAACATTATTAGGCAATAAGAAAAGGGTTTCTGGTTGGTGTTCAAATAAGAAAGGTTTGATTTCTTTTTAATAATAGCAATTTTTATTTAAAAAATACAAGAAATAACACAGGCACAGGCTAATCTCATTTATTTAATTGTATAAATTCTGTATAAATACGGCAGATGACCATGTTATATTTTCAATTATAATAAAGTTCGGATATAACGCGCGCTGTCATTGGTTAAAAGAGCGTGCTCTATGAGAGTATAGAGCATAGAGCTGAGCTAAAGCTGTCACGCCATCTGTCAAATTGTACTATGTTAAACCTTTTCCAGGACTTCTTTTAGCTTTTTTCCGATAATTGAAAGTGAAATTTCGGAACAAGCGAGCCGGCAAGTAGCAACAGAAGAACCAAACAAAGGTTTGTAAACATACCAGGCGCCATAATTTACGCTGTTAAAACGTGAGCAGATACGAAAATCCTCAAAGGAAAAACAAAATAGACATTCTGAGTTTTAAAGATTTCACGCTGAGTTAGATTGCAAGCTTACGTACGGTAATAAAAATCAAACACAGCTAACACTCGTATAGTATATAAAGTTCAGTGTTCAAAAACAAAACATAACAAAACAGAAATAATGAAAAATATAATAAAACTGGCATAAATGTTAAAATTCATACTGATCATGACGGTGTCCGAGCGTAAATGATCATGCTGAAGTTCATCGTGGCGATCTCCGGTCATCACCGTAAAGCAAGCCTCAGAAACTACATCGACCACCCTTCGAGTGAAAAAATAAGAGCTTGCTCTGATATCCTTTCCGATGCGTTGAGTGGAAAGTCACATAAGTCACCGCAGCCGAGTTTTGCGGCGCTGTCATCCCGAGCGCTCTTCATGTTCCGTTGAATTCGGCTGTCATTCATTCTAAAAATTCTCGCCTTGAACTGTTTGTTTTCTACCTCGTCAAGTGAAAAGATTCGCGTGTTTTTATGAGCCATAATTCGGCTGAAGGTCACTGAACATTTCACTTCAAGATGCTGTATTAGAGGCTTAAAAACTTCAGGCAAAAGTGTTAAATTCGACCTGCCGAACTATTTTAGTTTATAGAGTATCGTAGAATGTGAACTTTGATGGTTTGACACTTTTGACAGCTTTAGTCTTGTACAGCCAATCAGATTATTTGAACCATTCTAACAGGGATTCTGATTGGCTTATTGTTGCGTGCTTTATGCGAGTATAGAGCATGCTGACGACACTGTTATTCGCTTTGGAAATAACGTTTGTTTTGAAAATTGAAATTAATGCTTGGGGAATTTAACGGACTTCGTCTCGTGTTCCTCCCTACACTTCTTTCGTGCTCTAGCCGCTTCCTGCGTGCTTTATAATATAACAGAGCACAGTCAAGGCTTCTCTGTTTGTTAACCCTTTCACTCCCAAGATCTAATTAGTAATTCTCCTTACTATCTGCCATACAATTCTTATGATGTTAGTTCAGAGAATTTGGTATTGGATCAACTAATCATCCCATGATTGACATTCTTCTCTATTCTCATCACTTGCCTGCTTGATATTGTATTGATATTGCAAGGAGAAATTCTGTCTTGGTCACTTGTGGGAGTGAAAGGGTTAAGAATAACATGCCTTAAAGTTTTCACAGTCATACGTGCTGTTAAATATCATTGATGATACAAAAGGAAAATGTCAATTTGGTGAATTAAAGTCATGTTATCCTATGACTACCTAAAGATGACTTGATTGTCGTATCTCAGACAATGGTTGGCCTTGTCAACAGTACTTCTGATCAAACACAAATATCATAAAAATAGAGACTCTTCCGTTCTAATAAACTCCACTCTAAGAAATCTTTCAAAGAAATCGGAACAAATCAATACCAGCATGTCATAGGTTCCTAAAGCTGATTCACTCGATCTATTTCGCGTTTGGGACTCGTAAGGATGCTGCTTGTAAGTGCGGTAATGTTAGAGAATTTATAAGCTACATGCATCTTGCGAGATTTGCAAGTTCTGTTTATCACACAATGTTTCAAATGTCACTGTTCTTTTCGTGGTTTCCTATTCTCAGTCAATTTAATTTTTTTCTCTAAATATAAATTATTATAAAACTGTTTTGTTTTCTTTGCTGTGCACTCGCTCCGCAGCCCGATTTCAAGCAGTTTTAGATGGTTAGGGTTGCTCGGGTTCCCTGAAACACATCACCCCTGTTGTTATATAACGCAACCTCATCAAGTTTCCGGCTACCTGCTTGGTGTACCGTTGACCTCTGTCAGACGTTGAAAAAAGGAGACCCTTTGTTTCTTTTTCATGTCAACACAGCAAAATACTTTCTTTAGAAACTAATGACCTTGTTGAGTTACATTGTTTGCATACATTTCCTAGTCATTCTATTGCTTCTGACATTCTTGGAATTGATTATCGGAAAAAAGTTCCTTTATTTAAAGTTGATCGTTAGCTTTAAGTGTAGAAATTATATTATTTTCTGAAAAAAATGCACGGGAAAGCTTCCCATTTTGTAAAACAATGAGTAATTCATGCATTAACGTAATTGTTCTCCGGTAAAGCATTTCTCCAGCCTTTCCTCAGTTGATCTGACAACTCCTGGACCAGATCTGACAGATCTGGTAAGGAAGCAACATTCAGGTCATCCCGAGGATCTATGTACAATTCCCTGGCATGTTTGTTCGACCAGTTCCCCTTCTGTGTTTCATGGTCATATTGTATCCACTCAGTGTAATGAAAACGGCTTGTCTGCATGGAGTATCCCATAATTGTAATCTCAGAAGGCCTAGGCTCGCACGTGTTTTCTCGTGGTTCATCTGATGGCCTGAGCAGAAGATCAAGTTTGAGATTATCACTGTAACTTATGTTTTTGGAATTGAATCCAAAATCAATAATGAAAACAAATAGAACACAAAAAGGTTTAATTTTAACCCTTAACGCCCTAGCATCAGTATGCATATTCTCTCTACTGTTTTCCAGACATTTCCCTGGGTGCTGACAAGGAGAATTTGTTTAACAATCGAGAGCTTCTTTAGTGAACATTTCCTC